TGGGTTAAAAGAGAGTAGAAAGTGAGAGAGGATTGAATTTTGTAAACCAAATACGGCTGCCTTCGCATCCATTTTATAGGGTGAATTTTTGAGGTTCACGACGTGAATCATGCTTGTTCACGTCGTGAGTTTGATCCCGGTCATCCCCTAGAGAAAGGTGTCGTTCGAGTAGTTCACGTCGTGAACCATGCTTGTTCACGTCGTGAATGCAGTCAGGTCTCAAAGTTTGTGCTCCGAACTTCAAAAATCTTTATCTTTCGCATACGAGCTCCATTTTTGACGTTCTTTATATCCACACATAGGTGAGATTATGCTCTACAACTTTCGTTTAGACTCCATCGGCTAATTTTGACTTTATTTTTAATATTATATTTTTAACGGCCCGAAACAGGAAAAGTTCGTTAAAAATTCATAACTTCTTCATCCGACGTCTGTTTTCGTCTGTCTTTTTACCGTTGTACTACTATTGTCGAGACCTTCGATTCTCGTTTAGGTTGCGTTGGCTAAAAATCACTCGATCTTTATTTCGAGTTTTTAGCTGTCAACTGCTATTCCGAACTTAGAAAAATCATAATTTCCTCATACGAAGTCAGATTTGGACGTTCTTTTGATGAAAATTCTCGGTTTAACGAATACTACGACTTTCGTTTAGATCACTAAATCTAAAAAGTAGTTTATCTAAAACTCACTTTTTACGTCATACGACGTCGTACCGGTTCTGTCGCGAAATTTCAAATAGTCATAACTTCTTCGTTATAACTCGGATTTCGATGAGGTTTTCGCCTAAATGTTTCTAACGAGATTCTTTACAACTTCCATTAATATAATTTTACTTATTTTCAAATTTTATATTTTCGTTAAATTTCAATATTTGACTTTTGATTGGAATCTGATAAGACTTCCAATATTTTCCAAGTGATTCTAAACATAGTTTTATTTCATTTCTAGTAAAAATTATCTGTTAGAACTCAAACGCTCAAATTCATATAATATTTCATAATATCATTTACTTTTAAAATTACATAACACGATAACTGAACGTGTATGTTACAAAAATTCACCAATATACCTTGTAATTTACCGTATAAAATTCATTAAAATGTCTAGCAATTTGATTCTCAACTCATTTTTTTTCATCCCTTATTAACGTAACGTTTTGAAAGACAATTTGACAAGAAAATTTAATAGTTCTATATGTAAATATTCTAACTAATGAGACTTTGATTACGTGGATGTAAATTACACTATCATAAACATATACTACCTCCGTCCCAAATTAATTGTCCACATTTGACTTTTGAAGTATTTATTTTTCAACTTTGACCTTAAATATTTTTTCTTTTTGATAGATAATACTTGATGCAAAATATATGAATTGATTGTATTTTAAATATCTTTTCATTGTTTTAAGTTTCATCAAGTAATATATAACACAAATAAAAATATTTAAGGTCAAAGTTGAAGAAAAAATATTTTAAAAGTCAAAAGTGGACAATTAATTTGGGACGGAAAGAGTAAATTTTTTCAAACTCATCATTTTCCATTCCTATTTGACAAGAGACTTGATGTTTTGGAAGAAAATTTGACAAGAGAATTTTAATAATTCTAATTCCGAATGTTAACAATATGTTTGAGGCTTTGATTTATGGATGTAAATTATAGTATCATAAACATATAAGTTTCGGTTAGATCGCACATACACCTACTACTATATATACTTTCAACTTTCAAGTTTATATATTTTTTCACAACGAGACTTAAACCTCTAATTTTGATTGAAGACGCCTATGCGTTAGTTTTTAATATCGTTAGACTACACACTTTTTGGTATAAACAGATAATTATATCTATATTTTATTTATGTAAATAGGTAACAAAAAAAATATGAAAAAGATAACACTTCTATTTAATCATTCGTGTGTATTATACCCAGAGAATTTCCAAGGACCCAAAGTGGGTATTAACCAAACTTGCGGGGTACTTAACTGCAAAAGCTGCAGTTAGTTGTTCATCAAAAGCGGTGCCTTATTCTTCCTTTCGTCATATTGCTCCCCTTACACGCCTCGGCGGTTCTCTCAAATCTCAGGTGAGTTTAACCTTTTTTCCCCAATTTGCCTTCATCGATATTCTCCGATCAGCCGGATTCAACTGCTACTGTGTATCTTTTATACTTATAACTACAATTGCTTCTATGTTTTGTTTATTTAATGTGTACAGTGTACTGATTCCTAGCGAATATTTTGATCGCTGATGAAAATTTAGGGCAATTAATCAGTGCAGTTTTTGTGTAGTTCTTATGATCTGTTTTTGGAATCGTATTCTCCGTATTTCACTTCGTTACTACCATAACTACAGTTCGGTTTGGAAAAAACCGTGATGGTTGACAAATAACGATGCATGTTATTCTAATCGGTAAACTGATTTTTTTTTTATTAAGTTCATGGTAAATAGGTAGGAAATCATAGTGGATTTAAGGTAGGGACGGAGTCATGTGTCTAGTTTTTTATTTTGGCTAGCTATGTTTATGATTGTTCTTCATCTCTCGTAATCGTACTTTATGAATTGATATCAAACACGTAATTGGCATGTTTTGGTTATTAATGGTTAATATTGACAATTGTAGTCCACTTTATCTCAATGATGATGTAATGATTTTTAGTTACCTCCCTTTTAGGGAAAAACGAGTCCAACACGTTTTAATTAGAAACCTAATTTCATTTTTCTCCCCAAATATTTCCTATTTGTAGCCCATCTTATTTGGTTTAATGTGGTTATTGGTTTTTTTGTAACCGTGTAAAGAGTTCATATCAGTTTATAAGTTATAACTGAGTTTTTTGAAACATTACTTCGTTGGCAACATATAGTAGCAACTCATAGCTTTGTTCTCCATTTTGCAAATTTTAATGTTCAAATCAATATTTAATAAAAAACTTTTCTCATTGATGTAGTGTTCAACATGGGTATGACAATGAAAGCGAGTCTGCTTGTCTTCTTTTTGCTGTTTCTTCTGTCACCTTCAGCATTTTCAGCCTCTAATGGTGGATTGATTAGAGTTGGACTTAAAAAGAGGAAGGTTGACCAACTTACCCAAATCAATGGACATGGTGTCTCAAAGGAAGGAAATGCTATAAGAAACTTTGGTCTTGGAGGCCCTCTCACAGATTCAAACACTGACATTATTGCATTAAAGAACTACATGGATGCTCAGTATTATGGTGAGATTGGTATTGGAAGTCCCTCTCAAAAGTTCACTGTGATCTTTGATACTGGAAGTTCTAATCTATGGGTACCTTCTTCAAAGTGCTACTTTTCAGTGAGTTTGCTTTTCTAATTCAAGATTTCTCTCAATCTATAACTTCAATCATGTGCTCATAGTTCTTGATATGGATACAGGTAGCTTGCCTTTTTCACTCAAAGTACAAGGCGAGCCATTCAAGCACCTACAAGAAAAATGGTATAGTCTCTTTTGATTGTTTCTCAATGGCATTTTCGTAATTAACTGTATTTTTCTTCATATGTCAATTAGGGACATCTGCTGCTATTCAATATGGAACTGGAGCTATCTCTGGTATCTTTAGCCAAGACTCTGTCCAACTTGGTGATCTTGTTGTTAAAGAACAGGTAAGAATTAATAAATTTTGTTTTTTTGATTCACTTAACTACTATTTTCTCATTATACTTTTTCTTTTAATCTTTTTTTCAGGATTTTATAGAGGCAACAAAAGAGCCTGGCATCACTTTCTTGGCAGCCAAGTTTGATGGTATTCTTGGCCTTGGATTTCAAGAAATCTCTGTTGGAAATGCTGTTCCTGTCTGGTATTTTTCTTGCCCTGTTTCTTATTGACTTAATTGATACATAACTTAATCAGGACATATATATAAAGTAGTGTTTCTTTGAGTTATTTCTAACAGAGGTGGCTTAATATGTTAGTGTCGTTTCTAAATAAAGGGTAAAATGGTCATTTACTCAGATTCAGATTGTTAATTGAGATATTTTCATACCCTTTTAGGTACAACATGGTAAATCAAGGTCTTGTTCCCGAACCCGTATTTTCTTTTTGGTTTAATCGCAATGCTGACGAGGATGAAGGGGGTGAACTTGTGTTTGGTGGGGCCGATCCTAATCATTTTAAGGGCAAACACACATATGTACCTGTGACTCAAAAGGGTTATTGGCAGGTAACTAACTTATTATAACATAACTACAAA